GGGGGGGGGGGGGTAAATATAACAAATCCAATTCATAAAATACTAAAAGTTTCCATCTACAAATTTGAGTTTAATATAGTCGGTTAAAATTGAATACAGTGAAGCCAGTCTAGCTAACACATTTTGATTAGTTAGTCTTCGATAGAAGCCAACAACATTTGACATCTGAATTCCAAACCATTTATTTCTTCAAAATTAAGGGAGTTAATACAATTTTCTGTTTTTTTTTTTTTTCACTATGGCTGCATTATTTTATCATTTAATTCTCTGTGTGGGCTCTTACAAGGGCCATAAAACAAGAATTAAAACATTGATTTTTGTAATAATTTCATAATGTGCTTTGTATGTCTTCCTTTTGGGTAAAAAACAAAGGCTAATTGATAGTGTACTTATTATGCTCATATGTGGCAATTATGCTGCCATTGATAATGGCTGGGATGGACCCTCTTTTCCTTTTGAGAGAGTGGATTTAAGTTATCGATCATTTTCCCTCATGAGCAAAGCAGTTACTCATTATGGAAAAGCTGCCATTATTCTATTTCACTCCTATTTTTACAGAAAAATTCTTAATATATATATTATTCTACCCCTAAGGAAAAAAGAAAAAACACACTTCACATATTAAAAAGAAAAAAAATGGAAACAGAAACCTGACACACCCTCTATTCCATGAGACTATGATCAAATGTCATTATAGTCATAATACATATCCTCGGAACTGTTTGAAATACGAATCTCTCTTTTGGTCGATGGTTTTCACATTCACACACCCACCACTGCAAACAGTAAAAAGGTGAAAGGATTAACTTAAGTGGGGGAGTCTTTAACTTTAGGCGAATATATTGTAACAGTTCCATTGTTTAAACATCAGAAAATTTAATATGATACCTCATATAATAAAGTTTTTATATGCATATGTTTAAAAAATATACCTTAAAATAGAGAAGATAGTTAATATTATTGTATTTGAAAACATTTTGGTGAATGAAGTGAGTAGAAAATGGAGTATTGTAATATTGTATTATTTAATCTGTGGTTGGGTGTTGTAATTAGTGATTTAGTGGAGAGACAGAAATGATTGTCGGCAAAGCTAAAAGTTGATTCATTCTCTCTCTAGAGGTTGAGCTTTTTCACCGGTATGGTATGGTATGCAATGCACCTCTCTACATTTGTGGTTTCAATTTCAAGGGAAAAGAGAGGAAATATAATGATTAGTATTGGACGACACTCCCTTTATACGAGAATCTTCTCCTGTTCCAATGCTCTAATTATGCAACCTTTTTTAATCTTTCCTTCCCCATTTATTAATTATTATTGTTGGTTTTACTTAATAGCTGACTTTATTTGTGTGTCCTTTTCCTCTCGGAAGAGAATTGATGCTTGACAGAAAGAAG